GTATCTGGTCCATTTGAAGAGGTATGGACCTAAGGATTGTTCCTCGGTCCCTCAGGCTGATATGCATTCTCTTTGGTTGGTTCGTTCCTTCTTATGGCCGTCACCCAGACAAGCTTGGTCCTTCAAGCCCAGTAGGTGCATCCTCCCGGGAGTGGTAATGTGGCATTACTTACCTCCGCCGAGCAGACTAACCGCACCACATGACTGCACGGCACACTGAGGGAGACTCCTCTTCCTAAATCTTTGCAGAACTCCTACTGCTGCACGGTCTGGCTTAACCACGTGGCCGCATGGCAAGATGTCAATAAATATATGTGGACGTTACATAGTTACATAGCTGAAAAGAGACTTGCGTCCATCAAGTTCAGCCTCCCCTACATATGTTTTTGCTGTTGATCCAAAAGAAGGCAAAAAACCTAGTCTGAAGCGCTTCCAATTTTGCAACAAACTAGGAAGAATTTCCTGCTTGACCCCAAAATAGCAGTCAGATGTCTCCTTGGTTTAAGCAGCTATTGCCCCACTAATTAGAAATTATATCCCTGTATGTTATGTTTTTGCAAGTCTTTATACAATTGCAGTTTAAACATCTGTATGGACTCTGATAAAACCACCTCTTCAGGCAGGGAATTCCATATACTTATAGCTCTAACTGCGGTTACTTCTCTGCTCTCAAACTATAGCATACCGTGACATTACATGTGCATGTGTGGTGTCATCACAGTCAGCCATAGAGAATCATTGCATGCACCTGTAAATATAAACAATGTTTTATCAAATTTAATGTCAAGGTTTTTATTTTTTTTTGGTAGAGGAGGGAGTTGGGGGCACTTGAGATTCCTGTGCCTACATGTGCTCCTGGTAGCTAAAGGTTAGGGACTAATAAAAAAAAATATAAATTTCTAAGCCAGCTTGCGAATGTATATAAACAGCAATCTTAAATAATGCAATGGGGGTTTAGTTACAAAATATTGTCACACTTTTCAAAAGCCTCCTGTTGATACATGGCACCACATTTTAGCAGGGTCTAAACTAATGATCACTATTGAGATCTATTCATATCCATAACATGAGACTATGCTATTGAATGGTCCTGTTAACATCCCAAAACCACTGGCGGAACTACAGGGGTCGCAGCTGCGACCAGGCCCCTCACTCCATGGGGCCTTGCCGCCTCGTTGACCCCTGCGACCAGGGTGCCCGCCAGCATTTTGGTACGGCCCCGACCGCACGGAACAAATGCCAGGGCAGCATTGAAAGAGCCCATTTGGTGGCCCACGCTCAATGGATTTCCTGGGGCCCGGTCAGAGCTGCAGAGCTTAAAAGGTGCGATCAGGCCCCAGTAATGTCAGAGCTGGGAGGAAGTCGTCACTTCCTCCCAGCCAACAGAGCGCAGTGCACGAGGAAAGGAGGGAGTCTGAGTGGGAGCTCTGACTCCCATCAGCATGAGGCAGCCACTGGACCCCAGGTAAGTTACTAAAACATTTTTAACAGTTTTTGTGTGTGATAGAGAATGTCTGTATCAGTATATCTGGGTGTGTGTTTCTGTATATCTGTGTGTGTTTGTATGTGTCTGTGTGTGTGTGTCTGTATGTATGTGTGTCTACATTATTATTTATATAGCGGCATCAGATTCTGTAGCACTGTACAATGGGTGGACTAAGACATGTAATTGTAACCAGACAACTGGACGTACAGGAACAGAGGGGGTGGAGGGCCCTCCTTAATGAGCTTACATTCTAGAGGGAGTGGGGTATGGTGACACAAAGGGTAAAAGTAGGGGTACCCAGTAGGTTGTTAGAAAAGTATTCACTGAGGGCTTCATAGGTAATTTTTGACAGTTGCAGAGGAGTCATGAGGGGATGGGGGAGCCAATGCACGGACTGACAGAGCGGGGAGGCGTGGGAGGTGCGAGCGGACAGGAAAATGAGCCTTGCCACCGCATTCATTATAGATTGCAGCGGTGCAATCTGGGAACACTTAAGAACACTTAGAAGTAGTCAAGGCGAGAGAAAACAGCATGGACCAGTACCTTAGCCACTTCCGGCGTTAAATAGGGGCGGATGCACGCTATGTTTTTAAGATGGAAGTGACAGGATTTGGAGATTGATTGGACATGAGGGGTGAAGAAAAGGTTGGAGTCGGGAAGAACACCCAGGCAGCGAGCCTGCGAGGTAGAGGTGATGGTAGTGCCGTTGACTTGGAGGGAGGGAGACACAGGAGTAATAACACCTGAGGGAGGAAAGATCAGAAGTTCTGTTCTGGACAGGTTGTGCTTGAGGAAGTGAGCAGCCATCCAGTTGCAAATCGCAGAGAGGCAGTCAGAGACACGAGTCAAGATGGGCGGAGAAAGATCAGGAGAGGACAGGTAGATTTGTGTTATCTGCATAGAAATGTATGTGTGTGTCTGCGTGTGTATCTGTTTGTCTGCATGTGTGTGAGGGGGGCAGGGACGTTTGGGTTGATGTATGGGGGCAGGGCCGTCTTTAAGGAGGGGCAAAAGGGGCAGCTGCCCCGGGCCCAGTTACTCCTGGGGGCCCTAAGGCAGCTGCCCCATGGGCCCCCTGCAGCACCTGAGGTAATCAGGGGCCACAGCCCTTTAATACTGCTCTGGACCGGGCCCTTGTAATATGGGGGTTGGCTGAACACAAACACACAGCTAGCCCCTCACACACTGCCCTGTGATCCCTTTTCTTCTCCAGGGCATGCTGGGAGGCAGTGAGGTCAGATCACTTCCTCCTCAGTGCCGCTGGGGAGGAGGCACACACCACACGGAGGAGGATGCAAGCATTGTTGGGGAGAGGGACTGAGAAAGCTGATGGCAGACTCCCATCAGCCTGGGCCAACAAGCTCCCACTGGACCCCAGGGAAGCCACCTTTCTGTACCCAAAAGGTAAGGAGACAGGAGGGTGGCTAAATATGTTTTGTTTTTTTGTTTTGCTAATTTCTGATATCACTTTTATTTAAGTGTGTTGGTGTTTGTAATGTAACACACAGGGAATAAGTACATGTTAAAAATCCTAGAAGAACCTGGCAGTTCCCTATTAAATATAAATTTTAAAAGTATTTATTTTAACATATTATTGCATCAAGTGTTATCAAAGGCTGTACATCATTTTCAAATGTCACTTTTGCCAAATTCTGGACCAGGGTAAGAACAGAGTTGAGACATTATTATGGCCAAGGTTGCTGGGAGTTGCTGTCCAAGAGCTGCTAGAAGGCAGAGATTAAAATATGTAAATGTACACATATATGTGTGTGTGTATCTGGCTGTGTTTATGTCCTTGTGTGTATCTGGCTGTGTTTATGTCCTTGTGTGTATCTGGCTGTGTTTGTGTCAGTGTGTGTATCTGGCTGTGTTTGTGTCAGTGTTTGTATCTGGCTGTGTTTGTCTGTGTGTCAGTGTTTCTGTGTGTATGTATACCTGTGTATGTGTACTTGTGTGTCAGTGTGTATGTGTACCTGTGTGTGTGTTTGTGTGTGTGTGTGTGTGTATGTATGTGTCAGTGTGTGTAAGTGTGCATCTGAGTGTGTGGTAATGCATACATCCCAGCATTTTAATGCCAACACAAATACACTCCATCTCTAGCACTGTACACATATACACCCCTGCATTTATACCTTTATGTATGTGTGTATCTGAGTGTGTGTGTACATACCTGTGTCAGTGTGTGTGGATGTGCCAATGTGTGTGTGTATCAAAGTGCTTGTATCTGTGTGTCAAAGGGTGTGTATCTGAGTGTGTGTGTGTATGTGCCAGTATGTGTCAAGGTGTGAGCATGTGTCAGTGTGCCTATGTGTGTATCTGCGTGTTAATGTGTATGTGTATATGTGTTATAGAAATCACACAACATGCAAACAGAGCCCTGCAAACACAAACATTACATACAAACACACCAGTTTGCTGAAACACCAATACTACACACAAATGTACACAACACTACATCCAAACAACCCCCTGCATGCAAATACAAACATTACATACAAACACATTCCTGTATTAAAATGCTAAAATTATATACAAACACCAACTCTACACACAAAAGTACACCTGCATTTAAAAGCCAACACTACAGACAATCACACATTACTGCATTCAAACGCAAACACTACACACAAGTACACCACTGCATTCCAATGGTAACAGTACATACGAATACACCCCTACATGCACACATACACTCTATACAATAACATGCTGACATTCAATTGCACAAACACTGCTCAAAAATACAACCCTGCAAGGATGGTAGATCCCCACCTGGCATAGCATCGCAGGAGTTGTATGACAGATGGGGATCTATCTTTTCTTTACTCTTGTGCTACAGGGCAGGCCTGAATTATAATTTTTTTTGCACCAAGGCACTCTCTACATTAGTTTCACCTCTAGGTTGGGGTGGAGTGAGTGATTGCATGCCCAGGGGGCCCAAGCAGATGCTTGCCCAGGGTCCAATCAATATTAAAGACGGCCCTGTATGGGGGTGGGGTCGGATGGGGGGTGGTGGGCAAGGCAATTTTTGCACCGGGGCCCCGTGGTTTCTAGTATCGCCTCTGCCCAAAACACTAGTCTTCTCAATTAGCCAGACAGAAAACTGTTAGAATATGACACTCACACTGTTATAGTATAATTAGTGTGATTCTCACACACTCTCTTATTGTTACAACAGTTTACTTTGCACAAAACAATAGATTTACAGTTTATTTCCCTCAAGGTTGGTTCCTCATATATAAAGTACCAGTGACATACCCATAAATAACGGTGAATTACTTACAAGTTACACTGAAAAGCATAAACAATCTTTCTTAGGTTGTGCTGATTTTGATTCTAGATACATTATTTTAATGATTAATGGAAAATTATATATAGATTCACCTATTTTCTACGGATAAACCCAATGAAGTTTTAACTTATACGACAGAAATACTGGTAAATAAATACTATTAGACATGTTAAGCGTGCTAAATAATATGCAATCTTTAAAACAACCTTTGTTGTGTTCCAGGTAATATCTATATCTGTAAATATGAATAACACATCATCCACTCATTCCGCTAGTATTGAGGCGAACATTGTAAATAAATTATGCAGAACAGATAAATCATGTATTTTAAAATATGTAGCTAAACCACTGTGTCGCTGCTTGATTTCTAATGAAACGTTCTTTGAATAATCATAAGTATTTCGTGTTATGGTATTGTACTCATTATAACTTGGAGTGAGGGCATGAAAAAGCATGTGGATTAAAGCTGGTAAGCAAGAGGATTAAGCGATTAAAGGAAAAGTAGAGACCCAGCAGATATTGTCTGCACATACTTCATTCTTCTAGTAACTATTTATTTTTGTTCTTTTAGATTTTTATCGGTTCTTAAAAAAAGAAAGAAAAAAAAAAAGATATATATATATATATATATAAATTTCTTTCTCTGTTGCTGGGTCTATTTGTTCATAGAATCACCTCATAAAATATTGCAGCTCATCTATGCTGGAAATCCTTGGAGATTTGGCCCCATTCACCCACAGTCATAAATTATAGAAATGTCAACGTGTCTCACAAATTGCAGTTTGTTTTGTCCCTTTCAATGAAAGAATTTGCAGAGATTTGGAAATATAGAGTGTTTGTGTGTGTTTATATTAATACATGTCTATCATATATAAGCATAATTTTCTTTTTTTAGTGATGGCTAGGTTGCACCATGTCCTTGATGACATCATTATTGGAATGTGCTAAAGTGATGTCATCTTTAATAACCCATATTGTGGAAACAACATCGCCATAGGGCGTTTGCTCAATCCTATGAGAGGAAAAACGCATTCATTTTGCTTCAGCTTGGGGACAATAAAACTAATGTTTTGTATGGCTGTGGTTCTTTGCAGTGAAATAAAAATTAAAAATATGTTTTTTTGAGACAGGATATTTCCTTTCTTAGACAAACTGTTGGCCCATGTCCCCTTGAATGTGGTTAAATAATATGAATTAATGCAGTTGCTACTAAAACATGCAATCTGTTAGATATATGTTATAGAGCTCTGCTTCACTCCTACTTGATATTTCTTGCCCTAATGTTTCTAATACCCCACCTCCTATAGTCTGTAAGCTCGTTTGAGTAGGGTCCTCTTCAACCTATTGTTCCTGTAAGTTTTCTTGTAATTGTCCTATTTGTTACATCCCCCCTCTCAAAACATTGTAAAGCGCTACGGAATCTGTTGTTGCTATATAAATGGCAATAATAATAATAATAATAATAATAGACATGTTTACAAGAATTTTAGACCTTGCCCTTGATTAAAGCGGAAAATGTGAAGTTGTTACATTTGTTGCACTAGCTATCCTGTTAGTTTTCAACCTAAATCAGTAGAATTCATCCTGAATCACAATTAATGTGAGCTAGAGCAAATATGGCAAAATTGTAAAATAATGAAATAGTGTGAGAATGTCATCTTATTTGTATCCTTTAGATTGTAAGCTCATGGGCTATCTAGCTAAGCACTTTGCATAAAATTGCTTCAATAGCTTGATCTCAGCTTATGGGTAGGGCCCTCTTTACCTTTTGTATTTGTCTGTATATATTGTACATATGTTCTCCCCTAATTGTACAGCACTGCAGAATATGTGGGTGCGTGATAGATGCCAGTAATTAATAAATTAATCACTTAAAAAGAACACTATAGGTCTAGCCTTTTATTTATCTGTAAATTAATTTAACCATCTTCTCGTTCTTCATATAATATTTTCATATCCCATTTTTGTTAGAAATAGTCATAGTAAAAACTATGGAGAAACTGCCAATTGTTACTAGTTTCTAAAATCATTAGTGTGTTGGATAAAATATTGTGTCTACAACTTTTATTAGGTGGGATTTAGAATGCAGCTTCGGTGTGCAAAGAGAACTGGCAGGAACTTTGCCCTCCAGCTATCATCCACTCCATAAATCTATGTAATGACACCCATTAAAGAAACAGAAATGTAGTGTTTCTACATTATGAATGCTGGTTTAGCTTGTTTTCCTGTTCCATAGGGAATAAAAGATACCAGAGATGCAATCCAAAATGGCAGGACTCAATTACCTATTAGTTCATCCTCCAGACTCACCTGGGAAGTGTATTCTGTTAAGGTAATGTACAGGGTCTGGCAAGTCATGATAGTTAGTTTAGTGTTTTTACACATGTTTTGGTGAACGCATGACATTTTATTCTGCAGCCTATCTATGAATTTTAAATAAAATTGTCAGAAAGACTACTCTCTACACAAATATATCAGTGGAAATTGTACTTAATTGTATCTTAAATCTTACAGTCTGTCAGTCAAAAATGAATGGGAAAAAAAGCAAAATCATGAACTTTGTAGTCTTAGTCAGTCCAACATGTTCTCACAAAAAGTACAATTTAAAAATGGAGTAATCATTTCCTGTTAGGAAAAGGCTAGGAATAAAATAGTGTGGCGGTTGTGAAATTGTGTGGTGATGGAAAATCCTGAGCAAATCTGAAGATACAAATGCTACAGGAGTTCTTTATATGTAGGTGCAGGAAGTGGATGCATCCCTCTACCTTCTGAAAAATGGAAATGGCAATAAACACTGAACATACAAGTGATGTGGAAATGAGGGCTCCTTTTTCTTTTACCCTCAAGGACACACGACATGTGTGACATGTTATGATTCCCTTTTATTCCAGAAGTTTGGTCCTTAAGGGGTTAAGCAGGTAAAGGTGATAAAAAGACCAAATGTTAAAGTGACAAATATAAACAAGATACACCTTCTTTTGGGAGGGATGTGTATGCAAAAGAGCGCTAAAGTGAATAAACAGCAGCTCTATACACTTGTGTGGAATACCCTCTCAACCACATCCAAAACTCAAAATCTGTAAGGTGGTATAAATAGAACCTACACATCAAGTGGAGCACTTGAATTAAAATAAAATCTGAATTAAATTTAAATCAGGTGAACTTACCCCACGTCACCTTGTTAAAATCTTTAACTTGTGATACATATAAAAAATAAAAATAGGTCAGCTGACGAAGCTCTGCAAGAGTGAAACACGTTTTGCCCATATTCAGGACTTTTATATATCTAAATTATAGTTTCATTTATATCATATGTTTTATATTTAATTGTAAAATACATTTTATTAATCTTTTAAAGTCCTTTAGAGCCTTCCGAATCTTTATAGGGGTTGTGCCATCCCCACAAAAATTGGCACAACGCTATTATACCTCAGAGCCAGTACTGTAAGGCTCTGAACAAGGTGAGCACTACCTATTCCACCTTTTTACCAGTTTTTTTTATTGACAGACTACACATTGGTTCCCTTTCCTGCTTTGTTTTTTCTCTGAGAGAACTTCAAAATGGATGAGAGGTGTGATGCTGCCCTAAAACCATAAAAAACCCAGTAACAGAGTATATATATATATATATATACACCCCTTTAAATGTGAGTGATCCTACTTCTCTACCATTTATTCTATTTCATTTTGTATACCATCTGCACTATATTGGGTCTATTTTTATTTTTTATATGTATCACAAGTTAAAGATTTTAACAAGGTAACGTTGGGTAAGTTCACCCCATTTACATATATATTTTATTCAAATGTTATTTCATTTAAACCGCTCAACTTAACGTGTAGGTTCTACTTATACCACTCTACATATTTTAAAGTGACAATAGTCAGCATCTGATGGAACTCACTGTATGACACTCTAACCGCGTATTCCCTAACTCCATGGGAATTCAAAGAATTTAACATTTTTGGCTAAAGTAGCCAAATTGGAAGCATAGCAAACTTGTACAGGAACAGGAAACAGAAACTCTGCGCGGAACAGGAGTTTCTGTTTCCTATACCCAGCCGGATTGACAGGAAGTGCACACTGAGTGTGCATCTTCCTATCACTCCGGCCGGGCACCGCGGACCGGAGAGGAGCTCGGCCACGCTACAGGGAAGGGGAGGTGAGGGGGAGGGGGGATTAACAGTAGGAGGGGAGAGTAACAGTAGGAGGGGGATAACAGTAGAAGGGGGATGGGAGTAACAGAAGGAGGGGATTGGGAGTAACAGAAGGTAGGTGTGGGGGTAACAGAAGGATGGGGTGGGAGTAACAGAAGCAGGGGGTAAGAAGAACGGGGGAGTAAGAATAACGGGGGTAAGAAGAACACAAGGAGGAGGGAGGAGAGTAAGGATGAGGAGAAGGGGAGATGAGGAGGAGAGCGGGGGACTGAGAGAGAACAGGGGAGGTAAGGAGGACACAGGGAGGAGAGGTAAGAAGAACACAGGGAGGGTGAGGAGAAGGGGAGATAGGGAGGACACAGGGAGGGAGATGAGGAGAACACAGGGAGGGAGGTGAGTAGAACACAGGGAGGGAGGAGGACACAGGGTGGGGAGGTAGGGAGGACACAGGGAGGGAGGGGTAAGGAGGAGAATACAGGGAGGAGAGGGGGTAAGGAGAACACAGGGAGGGGGGAGGTGAAGAGGACACAGGGAGGAGAGGGGGTAAGAAGAACACGGGGAGGTGAGGAGAACACATAGAGGGGGGAGGTGAGAAGAACACGTGGAGGGGGGAATGAGAATAGCACTGGGAGGGTGGGTGAGTGTGAGAAGAGACCGATAGGGGAGGGTGGGGGAGAGGCGAGACCACTAAGGGGCAGGGAAGAGCTCTAAGGGACAGAAGGGACAGCTCTATAGGACAGGGGACAAGACAGGGAGCGCTTTCACACTACGCCCACACACACAATGCATCCCTACACACACAGAAACACAACATGCTTCCCTTACACACAGAAACACACAATGCATCCATTACACACACACAATGCAACCTTTACACACAAAGACAATGCATCCTTTGCGCACACATACACAGAAACACACAATGCAAACCCTTACACACACACACTGCTTTTCTTACATACACACAGAAACACAATGCATCTCTTACACACACTCAATGCACACAGACACACACCTTGCATCCCTTATGCATACAAACACAGATTCACGCAATGCATCCGTTACACACAACCAGAAACACACAATACATGCCTTATACACAAATACACACTGCTTCCACTACACACAAACACACTGCATCACCTACACAAACTGGTATCCCTATACACTACATACATATATTAGATCCTCTACAATAACATAACATAACACTCCACTCCTTGTGCGTGAACTCATGGGTGGGTGGAACATATAAGTGGACTTATGAGTGGGCCTTATGGACATACTCACCATCAGGCCCTGGGGTCCAGACCTTGAGCTGTGTAAGGGGCCCCCAAAAAATGGAGCTGCTTCCAATTCTCCCAGAACATTGAATTTTGTGACCACAATTGCAAACAGCCTCCAGAGATCCTGTTCTACAACAGACCAGTGGAGCCAAACTGCAGCCCATCATCATCCTCATCTGGTTGTAAGTAGGCAATCTAGTATATTATTAGTGACACTAATCTATAATTTACCTAACATTAAAGGGACACTATGGTCCCCAGAACCACTTTAGCTTAATGAAGTGATTCTGGTGTCTATAGCCGGTCCCTGCAGGCTTTTTAATGTAAACACACACTATGTGCACCACTGGCGTTAGTTCATATGGCAGATCATATGGGTGGGGCATTGTGATGTCACATGGGGGCGGCAAATTCAGCTGTTCCCCATGCAGCCACAGGTACCGCTTTGCTGGGAGATTGTGATTACTCTTCACTTCCTCCCAACCTACAGAGCAGCGCATGGGAGAGAGAGAGGAGGAGGCATGATTTAATTTTACAACAAATCCAGTAAGCAAATCTTTATAAATTTGGGGGGATCAGCTCTGTTTCCACGGTTTATTGGTGTTTACTCTGATGTCTGTATTAATATTGAGGGATTTCTAAGTAGTAACATCAGTGTGTGTCAGCAGGGCCAGCCGTTGGGGTGTGCAAGCTGTGCGGTCATGCAGGGTGCCATGACAACAGAGGCGCCCGGCGGCCAACACAGCTCACAAGTTGGGGACACCAGCATATTCAATTTAAACGATTCGCTTGTGGTCCACTGGTGCGCATCAGATTATATACTCTCCCTCGTGGTTCCGGCGCTCAGTTAGTGAGTCAGAGCACAGGCTCAGAGATTCTCAGCCTGTGCTCTGACAACATTGAAAGTTGATTAGCATAACATCAATATCCGTTATAAAACCAGGAAAAGGTGGGCATGGATGGTGAACTGATTTGGTGGTGCAATGGGCCACTTGACTGGTTTTGCCCCCCAGGCCTAAGGCTGCCAGCCCTCCCCTGGTGTATAGTCCTGTTTATGAATAGATTTCCAGACAATGATTTGTACTGGCCCCAAATATATTTGCTAATGCTATCATATCCCTTCTGAAGTCCTGTTTTTCTAAACTAAACATATTTAAGTTTGTTATCTTTCTTCATAACTAAAATGCTCCATAGATTTTATTAATTTTGTGATTTGATTCTAGTGCCATAATATCCTTCTTTAGTACAGGTGCATTAGAATACAATTCCTGAGATTGCAAGTGTTACTCTAACCAGAAAAAAACTGTGTATTAAGAATATTGGGTTTAGTTAGAGTAACCCTTGCTCTGCAGGTCGGCCATCCCTCCCAGAACTAAAAACAAAAAAATTAAACAAAGCTAAACCTCACATCGATCCAGCGCCGAGTTCTCCTTGCAGCCTGATCCACCACGACTGATGTCACTTCTCCTCTGCATGTGCAGCATTTCATAGCAAAATGCTGTGTAGACAGACTCCAAACAACATAACTACTTCAAATCAGTGCTTGGGATAATCCTTTTAAAGGGACATGCATCACTTGACAATTATTATTTTAAGCAAACACTTTTAAACAAATATAAAAATCAAAATAAAGCAAGAAAAGCTTTGAAAAGTGTGGAATATATGTTTATAAAAAAATAAATAAATTATTTATACTTGGTCAGATTGCATTCTGGGCACACCTCTCTGCTAGGGGAATTTCTTCAGCCTTCCTCCCTTCTGCCCACCTGCTCAGCTTTTGAACAGTCCACTGTTGCCAGAAACAATGTATTATTATGCTGCAGCAGGAGAGAGAAACCCAACACTGGAACTTCCTCTGCATTATCACGCTGATCAGACTCCCTCTCCTCTACCCTGTCAGGATGTCGTAAGGTGAATAGCTCTTCAAACTGCTCATATTTAAATCTGTCAGGTATGCCCAATTCACTTTATTAGAATTCCTAGGGATAGAATACTGATTGGTTAGATCAGAGTCCCACTGGTGTGTTTGTGAAAAGTATAAGAAAGAAGAAGCAGGTAAATAAATACCTGCTATTTTCAGGAGAGTGAGACAACTGTCTCATTGAAAGCTAAAGCAACAGTTGTCTCAATTTGATGCATGTTCCCTTGCGAAATTAGGAAGTGAAGGACCCCAGCAATTTTTTTAGGCTTTATATAGTAATATTGCTCTAGCTCAAATACGCAATAATTAAAAAGAAAAGTAGTAATGCAGTTAAATCCAGGATGATAATGCTGAATGATATACAATATTATTTGTTTGATTAGAAAAATATTGCTAGAATTACTGCTCACAATGTTAGTGGTATATTTTTCTGTTGATATTTATTTATCCTATTGTTTTGGGTCAATGAAGTCCATTTTTCCACGGATCAGCTCATGTTCTTTAAAATGAATGCACTAGTCAACCAGACCCTATAAAAATAGAATTGTAATGTAGTAAAGCGTTTGTGTTTTTTTGTTTGTTTTTTTAGGCTGGCTGGAGGCCATAGTAAAGTTTTTTTTTTTTTTTAAGGCCATTCCCCCTACTCACTGATCTTCAGTTGAACAGCCTTGCTGTTCTGGAGAGAAAAACAACAGCAAAAACAACAACAAAAACATTTATTCTATTTAGAAACCGAGATGGCCTTGACAATATGAAGTAAAAGCAAAACCTAACCTTGACTTTATGCTCTAACAACATCTAACAGATGCTCAGTGCTCTTCAGAATAATTCATAATAACTAACTAGATTTGGATATTTGTTTAATTGCGAGCTGCAATTCGTCTAAATTTTGGCCAGTTGGGTGATCGTCTGAATTCCCAGTTTCCAAACCGCCATATTGAGTAATCTCAACACAAACAACTTGTACAATGGATGAGCATGTTCGTGGATAATTCATGATTTGGAATTCCGCCTGTGGCACCAAAAAATAAAGATTGATGGCTAGGAAACAGCCACTAAATATTGATTTTATACACAGAGCAAATTAAAACTAACCAATGGAGGGGAAAAGGGAGGAGCAGTAAAAAAACAAACTATTTATATATTATATATTTAATCAATATATAATATAGAAATATATAAGTAAAGATTTCTTTACTGCTCTTACTCTCTCCTCTATTGTCTACCTTGATTTGTGAACCCAATGGTGGGAATATATTATTTACATATAGATATGTGGTCAATGATTTGCCATTTTAAATTTAAATGTGACACATTGTGATAAAGGTAATAAAATGGCATGTATTGGCTTATTATTATTTTTTTTTATGTTTAGAGATAAATTCCCTGATTGTATTAATATTAAACAAGTAGAGGAGTCCACACAGGCACTGGATCAAATGCCATAAATGTGGATTCACAAGTAAAATAATCTTTAATCTGATGCTTTTGTCTGTCCATGAGTGTGAGACCTTTTGTCAGGGACCTTTTGTTTTGACCTTTTATCAGGAAACTGCAGGAACTGCAAATTAGGCATTAGAATCTCCACTGGGATTTACCTAAACATTTCTGTTTGGGCTGCATAGAAGTTAGGTACTCGGCTCTAATAAGGTGGTCACGGGACTTTCTTATAAGTCATTAGTGATAGAGTTTGATATTCAACGATGTCAGGATGTGCCCAGTGTAAAATATGCCAATGTTCAAATCTGAGGCATGCTTACCAAATTTACTACCAAATGTCATCCTGTTTCTGCATGTCCCCATGTCTCATGTTTTTGTAGACCTTTTAGTTAAAAGGTCCCCTCATTGAATAGTATTAACTGAGAGCAGTTCCCTAGCTAACAATGTTTTGGGATAACCCTTTTGAAGGAATTTGTTGCACTTCTCAGTCAGTCTAGTTTCACAAAAGCTCACTATCCGCTTGACCCTGTAGAATTTACTACGGGCAAAGCCAACGACAAATTATTAGGATGAGTACTCTCATAGCGCAAGAGTGTATTCCCGTCAATAGACTTAACAACCATGTCCGTCTCAAGAGTGGAACCTTTCTTCCAAAAAATCTATCTTTATGGTAAATGTAAAAGCACTTGCAAGGACTAGAATGTACCATGCCACACTGCCAACAAATCATGGATATGCCTGAATCAGTAGCGGCCATGCCCCTTGAACTAAGGATGAGGATATGTAAATTCCTCTTCAAAAGAATGAGTGAAAATGTTTGCTTATGCGAATGCCATATTCAAGCCCATAGCATTCCCTCTGGTGTAAAAGTAGAATTTACCAGAAAACACAAAATAGTTATTTTCCAATACCAAGCACGAAATCTTTTTCATGATTCTATACCCACACTTCTCTATATTAATTTTTTTGTAAAGGTCAGTGGTGTCTGTAACGGCACCCTCAGCATAAAAGGGTTAAACCGCCGTTTAGTAGATCTTCCCCTTCCAGAGACACAGGCACAGCTACTGCAGAACACCAATCCGCCGAACAGGAAACCATACGAATGCTGTAAACAGCTGAATAGGAAAAATCAGACGAATAGGTTTACACTCCTAGCAGTCGAACTGGAAGAGCATACAATAAATCCCCCCAAGAACGAGACAAATCTCCGTGTTGAGGGTCAAGCAGTGAACAGACAGAGCTGTGGGATTATTGTGCTTATGTACACATTCTTACACATTAGTACCACCCATAGGGTTTTGGAACACAACCAATAAACACATACAATACACTCAGACACTCCCACACAAATCCCTCCCCTCTGCATGTGATTCAATTACCTTACACAATGGGTAATGTAATTTAGCACAAGCAGAGAAATACAATTTTTCCACATTATTCGTAACTTGAAAAGTATGCATCACATTCACATAAAACTTACATTTTCAGAATCAGCATACTCCAAATACATACATACGTCAAAATCATACAAATTGGTCCAGTGGTTCAAAAGATAGATCGTAGTCCTTTGTGACCACAGGAAGCATGGCTTTTCTGCCCAAAACCAGTCCCACAGAGTCTTCTATCCTGGAGATAATTAGAAGTAATCCAATTATCTCCAAAGACAGAGGCAAAACTCCAGTGAACACATGGCAGCAAAAAGACAGTAAAATACAATAAAATACACAAGGTTACATTTATGACATAAAATACAGACATGCAACATATGCCCAGATAGCTTAGGTCTGAGCGCACATTAATACTGAATGGCGCTCAGACCACAAACATATACAGTTCAATTGCCATGGAGCCAAAGTCTTTTATTACATGAATAGGCTCCATGGCATACCTATCTGGGTTATATGAGTTCATTCAGTAAATCCGAGAATCTACCGAACACCGGGCAGAAAAGCACGAATAAGTATTTTCTGCAGTGAAAAAGATGTCTTTTAACATGGGGCCATAGTCCAAATGTAGCAGGCGAGCAACCAGGCTTCTCCAATGCAATGTGGCGAGATTGCTCTCGTCACAGTGTCTTTTAAATAGGATGTGATGTGTTTCAGGAAGGGAAAAGCAACTTTATTAAAGAACAGACAAATGTAGAAAAACTGGAATCCACTCCATCAATTATTGGTCTGCCTGGGTTTTTGGAGATAATTGTGTATTTTAGGCATTATATACATAGCAGGAATGACTGGATTCTTAATCAAAAGAAAAAAGGCATAATTTTAATGAATAATACCCACATTCAAAGCAGTGGTGCAAAATCCTTATCTGGAACCAAAGGCATTCTTCTCTTCGATCTTAGCAATATCTCTGTTTAAGTAATCAATGATAAGTAACATAATGTCCATAGAACATTTATTCAATATACTCTTGAATCTTGCAAACCTCTTGTTAATCGACCAACTCTATAATATTCAGAGTTGCCAATACGTCTCACATGTTCATTCTTATTCTTTGCAAAGAATCTCTTTATCAGTAGTAGATAAGACATTACTGACCACTTGAGTCTGGGATAAAATTTGTGCTGTTTCTACATTGTCATATGAAAAGGAGGTTGCTGGTGGAATATGTTCCATTCTTAATCAATGCCAGCAAACCAGAGACAGGTGCTCGAAGTCCCCCGTGGAATGACAA